CATAATAATGCTGAGCCATTATATATATTTTAAGCTTACTTCTATTTAGAGTGAAAGTGTTTGTTGAATAGATTCTAGGGTCGATTCCACCAGAAGACAAAGGCGGATTCTTCTTGATCAGCTGTCGATTACCTTTACTGGAACATTCATGGTGACGTTATTTCCGAGGTAATCTCCTTCGGTTTCGGTGAAAAGGTGCTAAGCTTTCGTCATATGACAGACGAAAACTTAGCACCTATTTACTTCAATTGAAGAAGATTACCTCGGAAGCAACGTTAGCATGAATATTTCACTAAAGCCAATCGACAGCTGGTCAAGAGAAATTCGCCGTTGTTTTCTAGTGGAATCGACCTTTCAATCTCTTCACCAAACATTTTCACTCGAAATGCAAGTAAGCTCAACAATTATGAAACAAGAGATTCCTCGAAACCTAATTTTTATTCTTATTATATATAGCCTTAAATTTACAAAAATAACAGCACTAATTACTGGTTTCAGGTTGATCCATGTAAACTCGAAGTATGCGCCAGAAACAAAAACGCAAAATGGCGAATCCACAAAATTCTCTCCTCGAGGGTTCTTCTTGCTCTTTCTGACCACGGAGCGCCTCGGATTGACACTTCTGCCATTGGACGGCGACCCAAACAAAACATTCAACGTGATGGCTCACCCAACCGGACTGCGGGGTTCTGGAATTGCCTCTGATATGGCAATCTCTGAGTGTGGAAACTTCATCTTTACCGTGGGTGGATCGAGCACTTCGCTGCTCATGTGGAGCATTAACTGGAGGTAGGTGGAGTCTCTAAGTAAGTTCTTTATTCTTTAATTATTTTAATCTGAGAAGCTAGACTTTTACTATTCGGTGAACTTTGCAGGAAAATATGTATTCTCTAGTGAAGTGAGAAAAGCAAAGTAAGGATTTTCTATTATATTTTGAAAATTCATTTTGATCATTTAGATTTTCAAATTTGCAAGAATACCTGACTAACAGTTATGGTAGTGTATCGAAGAGCAAGTAAAAGTGTCCGTACTTTTGTTTTACCAAGTTTAAGGGAGAGGTTGTGGCATTACTATATTTCGAAGGTAAAGTTGGTTAGAAGAAATTCGTGATGTGGTCTCACCGAAAACCGAAGAAAGATTATCGCGTAAAGAAGGCTGTTGAATTGTGCATAGAAGTTCTCGGTTTCCGATGAAACCACATCACGAATTCTTTCCAACCAACTTTCTCTCCTAAATGGAGAGACATGTCACAATATTTCATTAAGCAATTCTTCGAAATCAAGTTTTTCTTCATAGTTAAGG